TATAGTAAGTCTTATCCTCACTAGGAAATGCTTTCCTTTTGATCCTACTGTTTCTTTGGGCCTGAGAATCTGGAAACAGAGTTCTAATGAAAACATTTCATTAGAATTAATCTGAGTAATTGTGATGACAGTAGTGAGCTGTATATTTGATATAGCATAAAATAAAAACTATTAATAAATTCTCACTGGATCATAGGCAGTAATTTGAAATCTATAGCATATGGTAGGGAAGGGATGTCACTACTAAGTCTACTGATAAAATACTGATCATTTTTTAAAAGTGCAAACTTGTTCAAAGACTTACAAATCTGATAGAATTCAATAATTTTTGTTACCTGAAAGTGGGCAGATTTTGTTCTCATATCACCTGGTTTGTGTTTTATCACACAGAGGGTTAAACTGAGTCTGAGTCTGTAGAATGTGTTTTCCTCTAAGATGCCCTTGAGCTGGGACTAGAACCCAGACTTGAAATTCTACCCTGAGGCTTAGCTGGCACTCGTTATTTCATTCAAAGTCATGTATTTGTAACAGTTTAAGTAGTTAGATTTTCAGTGATGAAAGGTTATTTTATAGGCTCCAGGTTCCTGCAGGATTTTCCTAGTTATCTTCTGCTGTGTACTGTTCAGAACAGACTGGGAGCATGGTTGATTCAAATAATCACCTAAGGGTTAAATATTATGTGTGGCCCCAGACCCCTGGTCAAGTGTTAGGGAAAATTTTTATTGATTTAAGTAGGTGTTACAGCTCAGTAAAGAATGGCCCTATGTTTGGCAAGAAAAGCAGATATGGAAACTCTACTCACAGCCAAATTTACAAGAATAAAATAATCGGTTAACGTAAGAGGAAATGGTTTTGACAGATTTACACTCTTGGGGTATATTAGAACTCCACCAAAATTCAAGATTCAAGTGCATTTTTATCTCGAAATGGAAGAATCTGACACTTAAGGTGGAAAGCAGTTTTCCGTAAAGGAAATGCTATTGACACATTCAGTCACTCCCTCTCCTGTCGTGTTTTCTGCGTGTTGTGTTGTAGTAAATGTGACGTGACCTATCAACACTCTTTTCGCTTTCTCCACTCTGTTTAAATTTAGACGTTGATCAACCCAGAGAAGAAAAGAAAGAGTGCTACTATAATCTAAACGACGCCAGTCTCTGCGACAACGTGCTGGCCCCCAATGTCACCAAACAAGAATGCTGCTGCACCTCAGGCGCCGGGTGGGGGGACAACTGCGAGATCTTCCCCTGCCCGGTCTTGGGGACCGGTAAGCATCAGCTGAGTGGTGTGTTCACACTTGGTTTGGTCAGGTGGTGTCCGTGGGCCTTGAAACGATGGCATTCACTGCCGCAGTCGACTTGAGGTGAAATTAACCTCATGAGTTTCATTCAGGGCTAGAGCTGTCACCCTCAGCCCACCGCAGTATGAATCCTTAAACTTCTCTCTGTCACAGAGGGTACTGTTGCCATCAGGTTCTATATGATATTTTGGCAGGAATATGATTCACTTTTATTCCACTTTAAAATTAAAATCAGTCTTTTTGCTAACAATGACACAGCATCATTCATAACTAGAGCTCGTAAATTTAGGCTAAGATTTTGCTTAATGGGCTCTTACGAAACCTTTAAAACATTAGACACCATAACAGTGGAGAAATAATAGTCATAACATGAAGTAAAACATGGGTAAGTAAAATATGGGTGAATTAGAAGGGTTTTTTAAAAAAATTATAAGTGAATCTATGAAGTCATTAGATTTATTTGCATTTAATCCATAATTTTTTTTGAGCTTGTACTGAATTTATTTGCCAGAATTGCCTTAAATTTACTGAGTCTGAGAAAGCAAAATTGAATTTAAAACATGTATTCATGGAAGATGTTGATTCTTTTTTTTTCTTTTTTCAACTTATTTCTTTTCTTGGTTTTGTCTCTTCTAAAATCAGCTGAGTTCACTGAAATGTGTCCTAGAGGGAAAGGTTTTGTCCCTGCTGGAGAAGCTTCTTACGAAACTGGTGAAGAGAACTACAAAGGTAAGAATCGAGTGGAAATGGATTTGGAACACGTGCACCTGTCAAACATTCAAGTAAGAGCAGGCTTGGGTTACACAGAATTAGAGTTCATTTGAGGCCTGGAAGCTGACTGCAAAGTACTAATTCTACCATTGGAATGAGGTCTCTGTGGACTCTGGGAGTCAGAACACTTAAGGCCATGTGACATTGGGAGGTCACTTAACCTTCTGAGCTTCCATTTCTTCATCACTGAGATAGGAATAATATCTCAAAGGTTATAATGAGGATTAAATGAGATAATATGTGTGACAGTACTTAACACAAAATTCTGTACTTAGTAGATGCTTACTAAATTTATTTTATTCTAGAGGTATAATATTATAGAAATCACATAAATTGTGACCATATAAATTTAACTAATAATCATGTTTGTCTTTATGATCATCAACAAAACTAAGGTTCTTGCTTTTTTAAAGAACTTATCCTACAATTGCTAGGACCTTTTTCTAATGGCCACAAATTCATAATAAGGAATGGAATAGAAGAAAACAAAAGTAGAAATGTTTTATATATTTAATGCTGCTATTATATAAGTCTACAATAAATGTGCAGCCTTTTAATTTTGGCAAATATTCACATATATTAATATTTCACCATTAACCACTCACTTTTGACATTTTTGTGTTGGAGATATTACCTTTTATACATGAAGTGATTTTTTTCCTTTATAGTTGAATATTAAAAATTGCTAAGTAGCTGGAAAACAGACTGTAAAAACATTTTTATTGTCCACTTTTGGAAAATTAGTGCTTGAATAATATAGTATAATTCAGTAGCTGGATAAGAAATTCCATTTGTGTTTTTTTAAATACATCTATGACTTAGTCCAATTAAATAACAAGAAGACTTGGTTTGTAATATGTGTTGAATGGTTTCCAAATTCATAAATATCACATACAATACCATATTTTTACAGCAATGTAATTGAATCTCACTTCATATTATGGAGCAGAGCCCTGATTTCACCACAAAGTCTTCCTTTCCTTTATATAAAAATGAATTCCTCCTCATCCTATTTTAGCAGTGCTGTAAATGGCTGGAAGAAGATTGGATTCAGATCCAACCAGCCATATGTTCTAGGCTTAGCTTTGCCATTTTCCATCTGTGTAACTTTGAGCAAGTCATCTATGGAGTCCTCAGTTTTTAAAATGAGGAATCGATGACATTCGCTCTAAAATGCTAGAACTGATGCTAATAGTAGCAATAAAAGCAACACTTTTGAGCATCTACTTGTGCCAGAAGGTATACTGAGCCCTATACATGGGTTATCTCATTTAATCCCTTCGATCTGATTAAGCTGATGTTCCTGTTATCCCCAATTTATCATTGAGTAAACTTGAGATGGCAGGAGCCCTTAATTCTGTGGGGGAGTGGGTCTGCTAACCCCCTCAGCAGCTTGTACTCTCATTAGCTTATCTTTATCACCAAGAAAGAAGACTTGTCATCAAGTTCCACCAAACTCTTCTCAGGAGCTTTCTACATCTCAACTAGTGAATGAGCCAGAATATACATTGCAGAAAGGCACATTTCTTAAAAGGTATATTCTTTAGAGAATATCATTGGTGCCACTGTGGAATCCATAGACTATTTCATCAAATATGAGGTAGCATCTCAAAAACCACATTTACAAATATACCTTCTCTGATGATGTTTTCCTCATTGCTCCTTAAATATCACAGACAAACCACATCTGATTATGTTTCTATGCCTGTCAATTAGGCCTAACTTTAGGAATTTTATATTGCTGTGTATGTAAGATTCTTTGAAATATAAATAATATTATAGGCTGAGCACAGTGGCTCACGCCTATAGTCCTAGCACTTTGGGAGGCCGAGGCGGGAGGACTGCTTGAGGCCAGGGTTTAAGATCAGCCTGAGCAAGAGCAAGACCTCCGTCTCTACTAAAAATAGAAAAAATTAGGCAGACGTGGTGGTGCATGCCTGTAGTTCCAGCTACTTAGGAGGCTGAGGCAGGAGGAGCGCTTGAGCCTAGAGGTTTGAGGTTGCAGTGAGCTATGATAGGGCCACTGCATTCCAACCTAGGGGACAGAGCAAGACCCTGTCTCAAAAAAAAAAAAAAAAATTATAATGTCGGTTAGACTCTTCTTTCTAACTGAAAGATCAAAGCTAGCTCCTTTTTGTATTTACCCATTTTTTCCCCACAGATGCAGATGAATGCTTACTTTTTGGACAAGAAATTTGCAAAAATGGTTTCTGTTTGAACACTCAGCCTGGTTATGAATGCTACTGTAAGCAAGGGACATACTACGATCCTGTCAAATTGCAGTGTTTTGGTGAGTTTTAAGAGGATATAGTATGGTGTGCTGTGAACATATGCAGATGGAAAAAATAAGTAATGCTATGTAGTAAAAGCAATTTCTTTGAATTTAAATGACGTGTTGAAAAGATGTGTCAATGTTTTATGGATCTTTTTCTTAAGCAAGATTTAAGAAAATAAAAAACCTTCATACTACTGTTTGAATGGATTTCAAACAAAGAGTTAATATTCAATGTGGAATTATAATTCAGGTCACTGCTATAACTGAAACGTTCTTTTGGTCTGTGGAACCTCCTGTTTCATCACTCATACCATGCAAGTGAAAGTCATTTTAAATACTGACCCAGACTTTAATGCTTAAGCAGAAAACCATATATACTAGGCAGAAAAACATAGCAAAAGGAAATAATTTTAAAAGTATCATAAAGAGGCATTTTATCTTAAATTTCTAGGCATATCCTGTTCCTAGATGTTTTCTTTCCTTATTTAATGTCAGCAGCAATGTTGTTTTTCCAATCAGTACAACTTACATTTTTATAGTCAGAGCTGCTCTCTTTTGGATGATAATGAATAGTTAATTAAAATGTGGCAGAGCCTGGAATCTGGACCAGATTTAGCAATGTGTAAATTTTGGAAGTGTATGAGATATAACTGATTGCTGATTTTCTTTGGTAATTTTTTTTTCTCTTAAGATATGGATGAATGTCAAGACCCCAATAGTTGTATTGATGGCCAGTGTGTTAATACAGAAGGCTCTTACAACTGCTTCTGTACCCATCCAATGGTCCTGGATGCTTCAGAGAAAAGATGTATACGACCAGCTGAATCAAATGGTATGTTTCCATGTGCAATGCAAACCTGTGTCAAAATAAATATCATAAGGTTTTCCTTTTGACTCAAATACGAGCTATTAGAAAATATAAAAATGCATTCCTTGGATGTTTTGAAATAATTGAAATGAGATAGTAAGGAAATAATAATATGCCTATCATCAGTATATAGGAGATTTAATATCCTGAACATACTCATTCAATGGACAATGGACTAGGGAGTGGCCAAGCAGATGACAGAGTTGTTCCACACCTGAGAGTTCATCATACTAACCTTCGCAAAGGCAGCCAAGGAAGATGAAAGTTCGGGAAAAGACAGGTGTGGAGGACATGGATAAGGCACAGGCAGAAAGGTTGCAATTGAGAACTCTACGATGAAGTATCACTAATCCAGGGCTTTGGTGGATGAAATGGGTGAGAAAGCATGAATCCAAAAACTGTTACATAGAAAGAAATGGTAGAATCTGACAGAGGGGTACATGTGAAAAAGCGGGGATTAGAAGAGAGAGAAGTCCATCAGGCTTACAAAAAGCAGGCAAGATAGTGGACCATTTTACATGACAGTGGGAAACTATAGAGGGAAGGATTGAGTTGGAATACGACGGGCAGGTGGAATTTCAGCTGATGGAACAATACCCAGTTGGAGATGACAAAGATTTGATCCATGGAAAGACCAGTCTGGGATTCAGACTTTTACTTGGAAGTCACTCTTAGAAATAGGGATGGAAAGTTTGAGACTTTCTGGCTTCCACTATCATGTTTATGAAATAGGAATAACCATGCAATTGTCATGGAACCGAACCATGTCTTCCCTTTCAGAACAAATTGAAGAAACTGATGTCTACCAAGATCTGTGCTGGGAACATCTGAGTGATGAGTATGTGTGCAGCCGGCCTCTTGTGGGCAAGCAGACGACGTACACTGAGTGCTGCTGTTTGTACGGAGAGGCCTGGGGCATGCAGTGTGCCCTCTGCCCCATGAAAGATTCGGGTGAGCCTGGGTCCAGTTCCTTCCGCAGGAGGCCTTGGGAACAGGTTCTTCTCCCACCCTTTGGAGCCTGACATTTCTCTTATATATCTTCACCTTCATTCCTGATATCTTTCATCATGCGTGCATGTGTGTATGGGAAGAGCAGGATGGCATAAACATCTGGCTCCTGGTTTTCCTAAAATCCAGACTCCATCATTAATTTTTGAAACCCTCATTCCATTTCCCCAACAAATGATAAATGACCTGAAGAAACATAATATTAATATAACTTAGCAGTCGGTGGCATGGGTCTTTAGAATTTATATTTCCTGACACTGTTTTTTTCTATAATTCTTCTCATTCCTAACAGTTTCTACTTAGAGCAAAAAGTATGAAAGTAGATACTGTAGAAAGTCATTATAGGTCAAAGTCCAAATTTTCATGTCAACCCCTATAGGCGAGAGATACAAGAAAGGGGTTAGAACAAAAAGGGAAGAGTCTAAAAAGTATATGAAAAGTATTTGAACAAATATCCTTTCCTTTCACATTTTAGATCTAGCGTTAAACCTTTGGTCAAATGGAAAAAAATGAGACAGCCTAAGCTCCCAATTTTATCCCCTGGCCTGGTGTTGGAGCAGGCCTGGAAGGTGCCAACTCTGTGCTTCCTGGGCTGTTTGGTGACTGTTGGGTTGTGCATTGATTGGCTATTTCTCTTCTTGCCACTGGAGCTACTGCTCATTAAAGGAAAGCATTTGAAAGTGTCTAGTATATCCTGTTGTAAAGCTGACTTGTTAAAGCTGGAAAAATAGCACATAGGTAGAAAGTGAAGGAGCTTTTAGTGAATATGTTCTCAGAATGGTCAAGAGGGGAAGAATTGCTTGAAGAGAGAAAATGCATTAATTTTTAGCTAATTTAATTAGAAGATATCTTTCAGGCTATTTAATTAATTAGCTTTCCGGCTTAGAAATAACTTAAAACCAATGTAGCATGAAAAAGAAAACAATTTGAAATGCCCTAAGAAGAAAACAAATAGCAAAGGATAAAGAGCAAGTATGTAAAGCCCGAGATGGCAACGATAGCGGTCCAGAGTGGTGCTGGGCCAGGGGGGCTGAGCGTGGGATCCGGCACCACCCACAGCAGCTGCGTGGTGAGGGCAAAATAGCCTCACCCTGTGCAGCTCATTGGTAAAATGGAGGTATCTCTGTCTAACTTGTAGGGTTGTCTGGAGGGCTGGGAGGCTGTAGGTGGAGCAGGGTGTGACTGCTAGTAGCATTATCATTGTCTCGGGCCCTGGAGGCAGATACCATAGGGAGATGAAAGTGAAATCAGTAAGAAGTAAGTACAATGAGGTTTGAGTCATCTTCTCACAAAGATGTTTCCCTCTCAAATCTTTTTCACTTACGCAGTTTATATTGTTTAACTTTTTTTCAAAAATAATATGTATTCCTGGTAAAGAATTAAAATAATGAAAGAGGTTATATCCCCTCCACCTGCCCCACCACAGTTGAACTCTGCTCCTTAAAGATGCTCACTCTTGATAGTTGGGTTTTTATCATCCTAGTCTTTTTGCTATACATTAATTATTGTTATATACTTATATTAGTGATTGCTATTTATATTTCTATTTAACAGAATATTTGGAACTGAAATCCATATCACCGAGCTAAGCCACATTCTCTTTTGTTTTGCACTTCAGCATCTCTGACATTAGAGTCCTCTGATAATTGATGGCACCTAACAATGGCCACAAGGCATTTTTTCCCATTTTAACATCTGTTATATCTGGATGCATTTTATGATCTATGATACCTTAGAATTGATGAAAGGTGGTAACCTGTAAATGGCTGCATGGAATCTGTTTTATAGATGTCTTTAGCCATGATTTCTTTAGCCACCTCTAATGTTGGGCACCCTTCTCTGCCCCATCCTGCCCCAATCCTGCTTTTCCTGTTACAAACAATGCCGCAGTGAACCTCCATGTCTGCACCTGCAGGATGCCTCAGTAAGAAAATTTCAACAAATAAAAACACGGGTTGAGAAATGTGTATACTTTAAATTCATTATATTACTCCCCAAAAATATTGTAAAAATTTACACTCACTTAAAAAAAGTTAAGTATTTTGCTATGAAAAGTGAATTTTAGAATAATGTATCAATATTCTAAAAATGAATTTTATTTTGAATATGAAATCTATTCTAAAAAGAGGGATTTTAGAGTAGTGCACCAATTATTTTCAACTGAGGT